AGCAAAACCAGGCAGTTAGGAGAACCTGCTGAACTGCTGTCAGGATGTAACATTTATCATTGGAGTGAATAATCTGGTGTGAACTCTTTATCTCATGTTTTGCTAGTGTGAAAACTAGGGTTTGCTCCACAGCAAAAAGTGCCCAATAGAAAGGAAAGGTTCGGAAACCATGAAGACATCAGAGATGGTTCAAAATCTCCTTTTCCTAGCAGATTAGTAAGGGACATATGCCAAGGCCACAAACAATTTAGGCCTGCTTCACCCAAAGCCACTTGAATAAAAGTAGGCATATTACAAAGACTGCACACACATAACATGGACCCAGAGAAATTAAGTTTCTATCTTTAAACTGAGTACTCAAGCCCATTTTTCCCTGCAGTAAATACTTACTATGCTGGTTAGGAAAGGTGGCAGAAGCAGAAAATGAGGCTAAATTTTTTGTTAGAGGTATAAGCAGGTGACTTAAATATTTGAGATAGCCAAAAAGCATAGATTTATCAGTATCCTGCCAAGGCACTGGGATGCTCTTCTAGAGGGGATGCTATTCCTGGACTTATCCACAAAATTACTAATATCTTAATAGGTATCCCGACGTTGCAAGGTTAGGCTAGTTTTTGCACAGATGTGTGTAATAGCTCCTCTTTCACTCTAAGACAGCTATGTCTTATGTAGATTATACAGCTCTGGAGAAATTAACTAAACAAAGTTTAGCCCTTAACCTGGTTATTTTTCTATAGTGAGAATGAAGCACTCCATTTCTATTTCAAAGTGCAAAAAATGTCCTGTTAATCTCAGATCTCTATTTGTGATTAAACAAAGAGGAGCAGCAAGTAAGTTTTCTGGTCTGCGACCACATTTCTTCTTGAAATGTTATCAGAAGACTGCTAGAAAAGCACTCCATTGACATGGCTGGAAAGAGCAAACAACATTGACACCTACTGTTGGATATTTTAATTGCTGATAGTACCTACTGACTACAAGATTCTTGTAAAGCAAGAGGAAGATGCTCTCCTTAGTTAAAATTACACGCTAATACTTTCATTTTGCTTTCATTTTGCCTCCTGCAGTGATTTCAAGGTGCACGTAATTGCAAATCGACAAGGTGCATGTGCAGGGAAACTTCTTTCTTTAACTCAATTTCTTCCTTTGTTTAATTCATGGAATTAGATGATTCTTTGGGAGTGAGAGTTTTTCACGAGACTAGCTGATAAAAATGGAAGAGATGAAAACTAATGCTGCTAGTATCAGACAAAGACGTACTGCATGCTAAGTGAGAAAGAACGCTGATTTCTGAGGAAATTCAAGTCTTCTATCTCATGGGGAAATGAGGTTCCCATGCAGACCTCTCAGAGCATATCAGAAAGCACTACCCAGCCAAGTTCAGAGCATAGATTTGAAAGACAGAGTTTATATCACATTTTACCATAGTGCCAGATCATATTTAACACCCTTAAAGTGCTCCACACTAAAAAGTTAATCATCGTGATTTCCTTCATGCACAGCTGGTTTTTTTCCAGTCCATTAAAGAAAATTTAAGCATAGGATGAAATGACTCTCCCAAGAGGCAAAGGAAAAATTTAGCAAGCTGGCAGAAAGAGCTTACCTCTGTGTCTTGCCTCCAAGCATTACCCTTTTCCTCATAAGAAACTTTAAGCAAATTAGCTTCAGCAGACTTTCCACAATTCTGAATAGCTTCCTATTGTTCATATTAACAATTTGTGAAAAGAGACGAGAGAAAAAGGCTCCAGAGCTGGAAATGTAACCACCATTAAAGAGAAAAAAGTCTGACAACAGAGAAGATAGCAATGCCCATACTTACTCCTATGGTAATCTATATTACTCCAAGAAATACTGTTTCTCCCTGCTACTCCCAACATTGGCTATACATACATACATATATGCAGACATATCTGAGGTATAATCCCATAGGAAAATTCCAAAGGAATTTCCAAGAGCACCACTCCACACTAAGGAGGACCATTCTGGCAACAGCATGTCTCCATGTGGACATTCTGCAGTTGTCTGCCTGCAGTGAGGAATATCAGATCAGCAGCCCAAAACAGGCATGGGTTTTTACTGGCGAAATCACATAGCTTCTCACATCCAAAAAATAAGCCTAGAATGCATTTATGACAGCTTAACAGCATCTTTGCATTGCCAATGTGATCTAAAGCAGCTTCTCTTCACATGGAAATCCAAAGCTGGATCTTTCATATACATATACCTAACCAAGGGCCCATCTACCTCATATATTTCTGCATTGCTGACATCAACCTTGGCTGTTGTAACGCTGCCATCAGCACAAATGCCTGTATCGGCTGTCAGCTCCAAACCTCCCTGTACCAGGAGACCAATACCCATACCTCTGCATCCAGATAAGGGTTAGGATAGGGCTTTCCAAAACACACGGTGCCATTGCACTGACCTTTACATTTCTCCCCACTTTAGCGTTCCACAGTGACCTGCCTAATCTCCATAGCAATGGCAGGGAAAACAAAACCACCTCTCTAAAGCAATGGCTTGTGTACACAGAGGTTAGCAATGCCAGGACGGCTAAAGTTTTGGGGAAAACAGCACTTTTTAGAGAGTAAGAGTCAGTTGTCACACTCATCTCACAGAAGATGGGTGCAAGGCTGTGCAAGCACCATGCCTGAATCTGAAAAACCTCTTTCATCATTCACCGTATTTCATCCACTCCATACACAAAATCTAGACGTATAATGAACCTTAGCGGCAGGTCAGTGGCTTCAGTGCCAGCATGTGATATGGGCAATTTTGAGGGCATTTTCCAGGCTCCCATTCAACAAAGTCTGGCTGACCTACTGGAAATTCACTTCATGTGATTATAACAGGAGTTTAACCAACGTCTCGGTGCAGAGCAACTGGCCATGTGCACGCTGTATCTTACTTCACGTTTTGCGGTAGCCCTGAGCACGCAGACAGAATCTTCTGAGATAAACCCATCATTTTCATCACCTCTAACTGCCTTTAAAAAAAACCCATTCAGATATGCTTAGAAGAAAGACACTGCATTCTGAAAACAACAAAATGAGACAAGCTCATATAGAATAAAAGACATTTGGGTAATTTCTCCCTATGGAGCATCACAGAAAGCTAATGCAAGACATTAGTGCTTAGCAACACAGAAGTCTCTCATTTTGGGAAACAGCTGATCAAAAAGATGAGGGAATAGGTGCAAGAGGGAATGCAACCTGCATGATGCTCCGTCCCTGGGCTCTCTCTTGTACAGCTTGGCCTCCAAAAAATAGTGCTTCTCCTTGAAGAAAATTGTCTTTGCAAGTGGGAGAATGACTTGGCAGAAGCTAACTTGGTTTTCCTTTACTGATGGGACACCAGGAAGCTCTCCACTGCCCTGAAGTGACACCACCTCAGACGGTTTGGGCAAGAGACAGCTCAGATCACAAAGCCCCCTGGATCCTGACAGACAGTTTGCCTACTGGAAATAGGTGCAGTACCTCTGTCCCAAAAAAAGCCCAGTCCTGTGAGTCTAAACCCTACTCAGTCCTGCCTTGCTGACTGCCCCAGACAAGGACACAAAACCCTTGTAACCACCTTTGGTTTGGCAGTGCCTACCGCCTCCGGGCAGACACAATGACAGCACAAGGTGAACACTTCAGCCATCTATCACTGTGTAATCATCAGTGGTGACACAAAGCCTATTGCTGTAAACAAAATTTCTAAGACTAAAAGCTGTCTAATCTTGTTCTTCAACTACTTGTGCAGCACCATGATATGGCACGGCTTCGTATACTGGTGTTTCCAGATGGAACGTTAATGCCCATTGTACTGGTATAATTTTTTTGTGATACTGATCTTTACCAAGTTTCATAATGTTTGTCCATCTTTGTTGACACAGGACTTGCGTAAAATGAGAGGAACATATAAAAGTGAGAAAAGGTCTGCACCAGATCAGTCCCGGTGAAAGATGGCCATGCTCACTTTGCTTACTAGTAAGTCCTGCTGCAAAGCTTAGTTCTCTACGTTTATGACAAGTATATGTGGCCCTTTTACTGTTATACTGGGTGGCTCTACAGGGGGTTTTGGGTAATTAAAAATGCTGCACTCTCTTTTCTGTGAAAGATGTAGTAGTTCACTTTCAGGAGGGATAGTTACACTTTTTAGTACTGCTGGAGTGCATATATTATGCTTTGAAAATGAATAGAATTCATAGCTGTTTGAAATTGAAATGTGCTTTTTAAACAAAAATCTAAAAATTAAAATACTGCCTTGTCACTTTTTTGGTATCTTTTCTATGTTTTTACCTGAAAGCATTCCACAAATTTTACCCACGTCCATATAAACACTCAGCTGACCCATGCTTGAGAATATATAGATTCTTGTATGTTTTTTACAGACAACAGTGATCACAAGATGAGGTTATATTAGGTTTAGTCCAGTCCTGCACAAGAACTTTGTATTTCTAAGTGCAATCACTAAAGCTTTTGTTCTTTAACGTTTTTCTTTAAAGGTCTGGCCCTCCTGC